TCCTCCTGGGTTCAAGCAATTCTTATAACTCAGCCTCCCACGTGGCTGGGATTACAGGGGTGTGCCATCAATGTCCAGCTAATTTTTTTGTTTTTGGTAGAGGTAGAGTCTCGTTATGTTGCCTGGGCTGGTCTCAAACTCCTGGGTTCAAGTGATCCTCCCACCTTGGCCTCCCAAACTGCTGGGATTAAAGGCGTGAATCAGTGTGCCAGGTCACATGATCCCTTCTGATGGTGACTGTGCCCCAAATCAGGCTCTGCCAGCGAGAAAAAATACAAAAGGGCACGCATGGAAGATTGGGCCAATGACCTGTTTCAAATATGTTCTGTGTTGTTCACCGCTGCTTCCTCAGCCCTGCTGGCACCCCACAGCCACTCAGATTAGACTTCTCCAGGTCTAGCGCAATACTCAACAAACATTTGTTGCCGATTTCAGGGTGAATCAAGCAAAGGCATTTGTGAGCCTCCCCCTGACTCTGCCAGACTGATGCTCAACAGTGACACCTTGTGGTGAGAACTGAAACCACCGTGCTGACGGCCACTGACAACTGTGGCTGGTGTTTGCAGAGCGGCTCCCTTGGGAGGGACCGGCCCCAGAATTTGCAGGAAAATCATGAGGCTAGAGAGAAGCAAGAAGCCTCAGGAAGAGGAAATTTGCTGTTCTGCTAATACAGACAAACAGGTATCTGAGCAATTAATGGAAAAGATCCAGGAGGGATGACAATATAGTTGGCCCCCAAACTGATACAAGTCACAGAGGTTATTAGGCAAAAAAATAAAAAATAAAAATAAAAAAATTTTAAGCAATACGTGTGGACAATTCTAATTCTATTTTTTAAAAGTATACATACACCCATTTGTCACGAAAAATTTTACCACAATTACAACAGCACTTACCTAGAAGGTGGGGCTTAGGGTAATTTTTTTAATTTGCTTTCTGGTTTATGTTACAATGAATGCATATTAATTACGTTAAAAAAAAAAAAAATAGAAGCTAGACATTGACCCAAAATGCAAAGGCAATTCAGCATGTCTAAAGTAAAAAGACCCTGGTCTCCTATGCCTACTCACTATTTTCATATCTGGACTCTTAATTTTCCAGAACCGGATACTCTAAACCTCAGCAGATCTTCCTGGGGCAAGAGTTCAAATCCAAGAGCTGCCCCTGTCCGTGTCTTCTGGCCTCCAAATCCCAGGCCCTTGCTGCCTTCCTGCGAGCTGGATTTGCTCCCCAGGGTTGATGCTGCCTCGTCCTGGCCTGCAGTGGCCGGCACAGGATGCCGAGGGACCGTGGCAGCTGTGCTGGGGACAAGTCTCCATCCACGCCCCCGACCCCAGGGCCTGCTCACCTGACATGTGGACATTCCTGAGGCAAGAGAGGGAGGCGTTGAGGCGGGCACACTCTTCCCGGTTGGCTCCATATTTCTCAACGGTCGCGCACACCTGCTCATCCGACATCTCCAAGAGGTCCTCCAGGCTCAGCTGGCCAGGTGAGATTTCCTAGGTGAGAGGAGAACGGATTGTCAACCGTGGGGCAGGAGTAGTGACTCCGCCTCCACACTGCCCTCTAGTGGTGCCTAGAGGAGAACACGCCACTGTGTAAACGCTTTGCACGACAGTGGGGTGTCTGAATCTTGGGTTTGCCACTCATTGGCTAGATGACCTCTGACCAGTCGCTCAACCTCTCTGGGCCTCAGTTTACTCATCTATAAAGTGGGAATCCTAAGCGCCCATACTTGGCAAGGTAGCGCAGGTGCTTGGTGCCATTATAATTACCACCCTGTATGGCATCAGCATTTTGCCTGTCTCTCCACCCAGCTTCTGCATGTTTAGAAGGCAGGACCCCACGCATGGGTTTTCGTGCCTCCTGCTCTGCAGGGACTCATGTAAAACCCCAGCACAGACTCAGAGCAAGCACAGTACAACGCAGATGGCCTGGTGGCTGGGCCCCATTCTCTCCTTCCTCTCTTCTCTGGCTGCAGGGTCTAGGGCTCACACTGGTCTTCAGAAACCCTAATGGGAAAGGGGCTGAAAGTGCTCCGTGCTGGAAATGAAACTAGGCCATTTTTGAGCGTCCCAGGGCATGGCTTTCCATCCTAAGGCAAAGTGGAAGCGCTGGAGTACAGCATGAAGTCGGGGAAAGTGGTCGAGGAAAGGTAGGCTTCCCAAATTAATATGTGGGCAGGTGACCACTGCCCCATGTCCCACAAACAGTATCTCCCTAGACGCCCTAATATGGACGCACCTCAAAATTTGTCAAGCATCTATATTTATGCATCTATATATGTACGTATATATGTCTTCTTTTATAGAACTTAATATTCAACATTTTAACATATATTATTATTACTTAAATAAGGGTTGTTTTTTTTTAGACAGAGTCTTGCTCTCGTCACCTAGGCTAGAGTACAATGGTGTGATCTTGGCTCCCTGCAACCTCCGCCTCCCAGGTTCAAGTGATTCTCCTGCCTCCACATAGCCAGGATTACAGGCATGTGCCACCACGCCCGGCTAATTTTTGTATTTTTAGTAGAGACAGGGGTTTCACCGTGTTGGCCAGGCTGGTCTTGAACTCCTGACCTCAGGCAATCCACCCACCTCAGCTTCCCAAAGTAAATAAGGGTTTTAAATATCTATGGATGGCCGGGCGCAGTGGTTCACACTTGCAATCCCAACACTTTGGGAGGCCAAGGCGGGCAGATCACCTGAGGTCACGAGTTCAAGACCAGCCTGGATAATATGGTGAAACCCTGTCTCTACTAAAAA